CCAAGGCTCTGTCCTTGGTCCTCTACTGTTCTCTATCTACACTTCCTCCCTTGGTAAACTCATCAGCTCCTTTGGCTTCCATTATAATTTCTATGTGGATGACACACAAATCTACCTGTCCTCTCCTGATCTTTCTCCGCCCATCTTGACTCGTGTCTCTGACTGCCTCTCTTCGATTTCCAAATGGATGGCTGCTCACTTCCTTAAATTCAACCTGTCCAAAACATAACTTGGTCTTTCCTTCCTCAAGTGTTACTACTCCTGTGTCTGTCTCCCTTCAAGTCAACGGCGCTACCATCACCTCTACTTCGCAGGCTCGCTGCCTGGGTGTTCTTTTTGACTCCAACCTCTCCTTCACCCCTCATGTCCAATCAATCGCCAAATCCTATCGCTTCCATCTCAAAAACATAGCGCACATCCGCCCCTATTTAACCCCAGATGCGGCTAAGGTGCTGGTCCATGCTCTTGTTCTCTCTCACCTGGACTACTGCAATACTCTTCTCAGTGGTCTTACGTGCTCCCAGATTGCACCATTGCAATCTATTATGAATGCAGCGGCAAGGCTAATTTTCCTGTCCGCTCACACCTCCCACTCCTCCCCGCTCTGTCAGTCCCTGCATTGGCTTCCAGTTAGATATAGGGCTCAATTTAAAATTCTGGTGCTTGCTTACAAGTCACTACATAATGCTGCTCCAACCTACCTAATATACAAGTATGTCCCGTCGAGGCCCCTATGCTCTGCCAAAGACCTCTGTCCGTACTCCCACCTCTAACTCTCGCCTCCAAGACTTTTCCAGGGCTGCACTTTTCCAGGACTTCACCCTGTCTCCACTCATTCAAAAAATCATTGAAAACTCACTTCTTCAAGAAAGCATATCAAACTGTTAGTAGGTTTTTATCCCCCACCCTCCATGACTCCTCTCCTGCAACTGTCAAAAATTACCTAACTAAGCCCTCAGTGAATACTTTTCTAACAACTTACTTTGTACACCTACATTTACCCTTTGTGTCACTATACCCCACTCCCTCTAGAATGTAAGCTCATGGAGCAGGCCTTCCACTTCTCTGTTCCTGTACGTCCAGTTGTCTGGTTACAATTACATGTCTGTTAGTCCACCCATTGTACACGCTATGGAATCTGGTGGCACTATATAAATGATAAAATAATAATAATAATAATCCTGAGACCACCTTTTATCAAATTCCTACAGATTGCTATTGTTAAAGATAAAGGTCAGACACTGATAATGAATTTGTGGCAGTACTGTCCAGGTTTTAGAGAAATTTGACGCTTACATCTTGTGATATAGATTTTGTCATTAGAATAAGGAATAATGAACTTTAGACATCTATTGTATAACTTGCTAAGCTTAGAAATGAAAGTGAAATGTAGTGCGATTCTAGTCATGATCAGAGAATAAAAGCAAACATAATTCTGGGAAGCTTTACTACTCTATAAATTCTACAATAAAAATAAATCATATAAAAAATAGAAGTTTATTGATGTGGTTGCTACGAGCAAAAAACACACAACACAATAATAAAATCTGAGTAGAACCTGTTTAAGCAGCATGAAAGTGACATAAAATGCAACACACTGCACAATCTCGGTCAAAGATAGGTTAGTATAGGATTCAGGTACGTATGTCTTCACACTACACATTAACAGAAAAAGAGTAATATCAGAAAAAAGGTAATGCATAGTTTTATCATTTTTATATATGCTGAGAAGCTAAAAAGTATGAAAAATATTTTCTAAACCAGTACAAGTTGATCCAGCATGCAGTACCGTGTCACACCTAGGACTAAGGATAACGTATAACCGGACCTTAGAATGGCCGGACTTAACGTCTCCAAGAATAGTCAGGGACACAGAATCAGACTCAAAGATGAGGGAAAGACAAAAGTCAAGGACACCAGATATCAGGGAAGTCAAAACAAAGCCAAAGTCAAATACCAGAAAATAAAGATCAGAAATGCACTCTCGGATAACCATAGGCATGAAACCACAACAGGGCAATTAGCAAGAGGAGAATTGAGTTTAAATACCCGTCCTGTGGATCCGATTGGCTGTAACCGGACTTTGACCCCAAAGGCAATTACTAGGTTTCCATGTGCATGATTGCTGCTCAGCACAAACCTTCCTGTGGATTTGATTGGCCATGACCGGCCTTTGACCCCAAAAGTAATTACCAGGTTTCCATGTGCATGATTGCTGCTCGGCACAACTTTTCCTGTCAGGACGGTAATGTTGCTCGGCACAAATTTTCCTGTCAGGACAGTAAATGCCATTAACCACATTTTTATGTGCAGATGAATACATGACACCTGTTAAGAAGGCAATACTAAGAAGAGCTAGAGCTAGGACCAAGCAGTGGAGGTTCCTGGCGGATTTGTTACTATTCCACCGGTGAGATTTGCCTGGTGTCACCCCTTCAAAATGCTATGCTTCCACAAGGGAAAGATTGCAGTAAAGCAGCACTCGTCTGATCTCAACAGGTTTCTGAGGGCATTGAAGATAGACCCAACAACAAGATTCAAGTTACCAGCAGCACCTAGGCCTAAAGTTTAGCACTTATCCTGTGACTGGATAGTGGTGGGAGAAGCGTTCATGGTTGATGGTTGAGAAACACTTTTGGAACACTCTAAACCCCTGGTCTAGTTTGGATGGTTGGTTTATTGAGGCCTAAGTCGAGACAATGTAGGGTTTGAGGTTGCACAGGGGGTGTACAGCTAAAGTTACTATGAGAAACACAGCACAGCTAGAGCACTGACCCAAGCTTTTGGTAGAAAGATGGGAAATTATCACACCTTCATGCCTTAACTTATGTGTCTTTAACAAATGCTGTTATAATTTACTGAGGAAAAAAGAAAAATTACTGCAATATACACACATTCAGAAACCTAAGCCCATGAAGAACAAACAGTCACTTTACAGGGATAGCATAAAGGATACTTTATTTTTCTTCCACTTGATCAATTTAAAACTGTTTTCCTTATGAGTATTGTTCTGTGGTACTACACCTATAATTAGTTCTGCAAAACTGCACGTGTCTGCAAAAATGGGATGTCTGAGGGGAAGGAAGGATTCCCCTGCTACTGTATCAGAACATTGCCAAGCATTATCAGAGCAACGCTCTGATACTTTCCTCAGCAACGGCCCATTGGTGGTGCAGACAAAGCAGCATATCTAACACTGGACCACCAGGGAATAGGATTTCCCCTCCCTGGCCAAAGGTAAGCATCAAGTTGGACGGAATACAGATTCAATTTCTCCCCCATATTTCCACTTTTATTAAATGGACCATTAGCCATCTTTGATATAAGCCTTCATGCTTTCTTCTAGATTATGTTTTTAAATTTAGTCAAACAGCAGAATTAGCTAATATTGTTTTTAAAACCAAGTCATCCTCCCAGCTACTCTTTCCTGTTCTGCTAGTTTGCCTCTGATACATTCAAGATAAGGATATGTTTGTCCTGGTATCTTGTCTTCAAGATACCAGCATCTAAAAAACTTAATAAACATTTTTTTAAGTCAAGTATATTGGTGAATGAACATTATTAGTAAGTAGATAACAACTAACAGATATATATTATATAAGTATGTAAGGTGTGCATGGAAGTGTACAAGCATGAAGTGAATAACTTAGACTTAAGATGCTTACAATTAATGGTAGACATATACATCATACAAAGGGTTAATTTGTTACACAGCCAGCCCAGCAACACCCTTTCTACGTCATGGAAAGATAGATAGTATACTAGACAATGAAATTGTTTCGTTTTGTACTACTCATTGAAATACATTGAATGAAATGCCTTTAAAAAACCTGACTTGTTGCTGAATAAATGAGAACACTTGATTCTGTATATAGACATGCTGTCCATGTGACCTCATATCTACTCCCAGCTAGCTGCCTGTCAAAGTTCACCGTGACCTGTCCTGCTCAGACTTCAGGTGTATGTTGGCCAACAGGTGAATTAGAAGACCCCCTAGCAGATACTTGGTTCTACAATTAGGGTGACAGAAGTGGGATGGACATCTACAGTGATTGGTAAGCATAAGAATGTTGCTTCAAATATTCTTATACCAATCCTGTTCATATCCATAATTTGTGGTTCTACTTGATATCACTGTAAAGAGTAAAAGTGGTGATGTAGTCATCAACGGAGTTTTCTGTTTTTGCCCCTGCTGGGGAATGGTCCCAGTAGCCCGAAAACTGTTTGTAGCAAGGGAACATCAAAAAACGAGGACAGTCTCCCCATAATCAGATTTAAGGCTCAGATAAGTGTGTGGGTTGAGAGGACAGTTATATGAGCTGAAGAGTATTTGCATAATTTTAATAAGTAAATGTTACCAAAAATTGCCTATAAATGTGTTAGACATCCTGACGATTTCATGATGTATAATTTGCACATACGATTGTTGTATAGGCACAGACAGTGTACTAGACAGGTTAAAATTATTGTTTTTACTATTCCTAGATATTTATGTTCCCACCAGGTACTCTGCATGTGATAATATTTGATTCAAGTAGAAGGCGGTTGGGATCAAGGGATTAACCCCTTAAGGACAAAACTTCTGGAACAAAAGGGAATCATGACAGAATATTTCCTTCATGTGTTCTTAAGGGGTTAAGTTACTGAAATTTTCAGGTTTTGCATAAACCTATTTGTAGGTCTTTTGCATAAGATTGTGTGCTTCATTTGTTGGTGGTAAGCTTCAGACCCTTTGCTAAAGAATTGGCAGGGTTTCAGCTCCCTATGGACAAAACTTGTTTCATATTTTTTGCCATGTTTAAATACTTCTCCAGCTCTTCTGAACAGATTGCTGCAAATCGTTTCACTGTCCAGAGGAAAGTGGTCGGACGACCCAGGTTTTGGGATAACCCTATTAACTTGGTGTTTTAAAATGATGGGTGTGTTCTTTGCAGAATTGGTATGTAAGACACCTTTTGCTTGTACCAAATCTGTTTAGATCCTTCATTAGTGTGTGGTGGCTCATGCTTTTGCTGGTAGCCCACACTAGACTCACCCGAGTGTGTGGGACAAATGACTGTTCAGGGAAGTGCCTACTATATGCTCTCTGGACAGCATTGAAGTCCGTATAGGGGAGCAACCCTTATGGCAAGCAATGAACCTTTGCGAGGTGTTAATCATCCTACAATGGCAAACGAGTGTGTTATTCACCAGAAGTGTAAGGAAAGTGCTACGGCGAGGATATTGGTACTAACTTTGGGGAGGGTAAGTGACCGTCCTGAAGAAGAGATACGTTATATTCAAAAAGGGTTCAGGAGGACAAAGAAAAGTCCCCTGAAAAGAGGGGTTGATCCTCTCTGCATGGAGTAAGGATAGTGAACAGAAAGTAGCAAAGTAATCTGTCAGAAAATTGCAGGTAAAACCTTGTAAACATATGTAAGAGTACCGGAACTTTTTTTGTCTAAATATAAAGTATATATTATTGTATTGTTTAAAAAAAAAAATGCGGAATATGGAAGTGAAACTTACAATCTTCCCTATCCCCTGGTCTGTGTATTTCCTTGCAGAGTACCTAATTGTTATAATTTTCAATTCACTGGGCAATTTGTTGGGAGAAAGAAATTAAAGTTGTTCATTTATATTGTACATAAGTTGCTTCCTCTTTATTGAGTGCTATACTAAGTGTTGATAATTTGAAATGTTTTTATTGTCATACAGAACTGTACCAACAGAGAATATTTTTTCATACCTTTTAAATGTTTTATCCACTGTCATCCAAGCCGGGACCAATGCAATTTTATTAAATATTAAATTGTTGTGTTTATTTTAGCATTTATCGTTGTTGCAGACAGCTGCTGTAAAAAAAACAAATCTCCCCTTGCTAATCTAATAAACCTCATTTTATGAATATTTAAATGCTCCTATATTTAGATCCATAAGGAGTATGAAAACAAGTTTCAAGAGTCATATTATGAGTAGATCAGAAGTTCAAAACATCATTATGTGTCACACATTCTCTAAAGAATTACCTTGTAAGAGACTCATCATTTCTTACACTTCCTCCTCCCCCCCCCATTTATTTTAAATAAGATTTCAAAAACAATTAGTAAAGTGCGGAAAGATTATTCACAGAAATGTAAATAATTATAACAAACATAATAAGATGACATTGATAAGTTGGGGTTCTCTTCCTGCTGAAATATTTTATTGAACATGGAGAAGGGGGTGACGTTTTTTGGCATTGGGACACTATGGAACAAGGAGTGAGTCGTCTTTTATCTCACCCTTATAAACTCAATATGACGGTTCAGTTGAAAGGTAAGCCATACCAATCATAACATGGCATTAATGTAATTCTTGAGTATTTTAAAAGGAGTGTGGGGGGACGGGGGGTAAGCTCATTTCTTTGTAACATGATTTAATATACTTGTTTATTGCTTTGAATGTTGTAATGTTATCACCAAATTATCTAATTACCTTCTTAGATACTTAATACCATTAAGTATACTAATTTGATTGAAAGAATACAAATAAACAGAAATATAAAATGAGATAAAAGTTTTCGATATAATGGTATACCACATAGACATATGCGGTATATACTGTAGTAGGTAAAATGTGTGAATGAACCATCTTTAGTAGGACAAAATAATATGTTATTCTGTATGGATGTAGTGTGTAAATGTGTTGATATGTTATGGATACCAGTTTGTTAACTTAATACTTGTTCTTTGTACTGGACTGTTAAATACTATAGCCATTGCTGCCACCCAAGTGGTAGTTGGAGTGCGAGACTTCATCCAACGTGTAATAACTTATTGTGTCAAGGAGTTCCTCAGTCCCAGTATGGACCTTTGTAATGTTTTGCATTCAGTACTTATCTGTTAAGTAAATTGTACAGAGGAAGTAGGAAAATTGTAAGTAAAAGACTGTTTGGGGTATGTGTTATAAAGGGTTTAGTTTAGAAGTTGTTGGAAGAGAAATTAGCCTGGATCTTTGTGAAGGATTACAAGACGTGTTTTGGTTTAGTTGGTGAAGGAATATTATTGAATTCAGTATTTAAAAGTCAAGAGAGAATCTGCCTTGCAGTTTTCTGTATGGAGTCATGTTTTATGAACCTGTATTGAATTGAGTAATGTAATCACAAGAAGCAATCATTAAGTTTGACATTATTTTATAAAACATAAAAATAAATGTATACCTCTGGGTATCCATTCTATATATCTACTACTTTTCTTTCTTTTGTTTTGTAGGATATAAAGATTAGCTATTTTAGAATGGTGGATTTATTTAGGCGGTGTAGTATGATTGTTCAATATGAACTAGTTGTGATTTATATAAGCTAAATGGTATGGTTTTTATATGTGGGATGTATTTAATTTTGTGGAAATGGATCTTTGCCTGTGTAGACAAAAATTCTTGCATCAGTCTAGTGCCTGATAGACCTCAATTATGCACTTCGTTAGATCTCCTGATACCAGGAGTGCCATGTGAGCCCTCTTATTATGGATAAAAATTACTCTGAAAAATCATCTCTCTTAATGCAAAAGGGTTCAATAGCCCTAGAAAACATAGACTTCTGCTCAGATAGACTAAATGACCTTGAGCAAACCTGACCTATGAGTGAACAATGTACTTTGAGATGAAGAGTGTAGATATATCTGTATAACTGGCACCCTATATGCTTGAGTAAGCCTTTTCTTTAATATAATGTGCTCCAACTTGCTATGACGCACAGTTTCTGGAGACATTACCACTAGAAGACCAGGGATTATAAATATTAACAAGAAGGGGGGACTTTAATTCGGCTCCATGTCCTGGACAAGATAGGAGAGCCAGACCGGGGATACAGAGATCACACAAGATGTGAGGCAAAGATAAACTCTTACATAGGTTTCAAACCAAGCCCGATTGATGCCTGGTGGGTGCAACACTCAGATGTCCAAGAGTAAAAATTTTACTCAACTAGAATAGAAATTTTTCCAAATGAGCTCTCCATTAATACATATAATAGTAGGGAATAAATCAAATCCATAACGGATTCTGATTATGTGGCAATTGCAATATACATAACTCCTGCTGCCACAGCCTCACCTGGATTTGGAAGTTGAATACCTCACTATTCTGCAATAGGCAGGTCATGGATGAGGCAGTCACTTCCATAACTTCTTATTTGTAGAAGAATATTTCTCTTGATGTCCAAATGTCTATAGTATGATCAGCCCAAAAGACTGTGATGAGAGGCCACTTTATTAAAGTAAAGTATATGTCATGGTGTAAATGCCTTTTTGTCATGAAAAAAGCAATAGAATGGACTCCTTATTGGCTAGAGGACACAAGTCTAGACTGTGGAAACCACCTATCACGGCAATTAGGACCGCTGGGGGAATGGTAGTAACATCTCTAGGCAAGATCTTAGTAGCCTTTACGGCATATTACAGTTACAGTCATAGATACACTCATTCCCCAATTAAAAGAGAAAATAGTCTGACACACATGGAAGATTTACAGTCTTTCTTTTCGTCTTTGCAGCTCCTGGACCATCTTGATGAAGCTATGGCATAATTCAGCTCGGAAATCCTTTTGGAGGAAGTCCAATCTTCTATTCCTGCTCCTCTTAAGTGGTCCAAAGCTCCAAGTCTATGGGGTAGCATATTACAAAGTATCCAACGATATCATAGGGCCCATTTCACAATCCTGGTTAACAAATAACAAATACTACAATAGAAGACTCTTGTACAGTTTGTAAAGAACAGACTACTGTATTCCTGTAACAATAATGTATGCCTGTACATGTCCTCAATTGTTATATCTGATGTTGCTTCGCTGGTGCCTGTCAAAAATAGAGAATTTAAAAAAAAAATATATAGAAAAATTAATTTTGACAGATGCAAGAGTTAAAGAGGGCCCTGCTCAGGTGTGCATACAATCTAGAACTTTTATAGTTTAATTACATATTAAACAATGAGAAAGTAGGAATTTTTACATAATTAATCGTTACCAATAAACACTATTCACCAACAATTAGCTTAGATATGAATTGTCACGCAATTCAGATTGGACTTTACCCTTATAAACTTTATTTATAGACTTCAGACCTTTTAGATCTTATCTCTGTACAATACACAAACATAATTTTGTCCAGTAGACATTTTTTTTTCTTCATTCCTTAGACAGTGATGAAGACATAAATATATTTTCTGATTTATAGCTCAGAGATGGGGGTCCTGGGTGTATGCACTTTGCTTCAGTCTGTATGTGTCATGGAGTATAACCCTAACACGCAGAGTTTAGGATAGCAAGGAACAGACTAAGGAAATATAACCGTCTTACCGGGCCTGAGAGTGGCCAGACTTAACATTAGACAGACTAAAGCGTAGACGAAATACGAGCTGAGGTCAGGGTAACCGAGAGACAGCGAAAATCAGAACTAGCCAGAGTCAGGTACACGGTAATAATCAGAAGGGCAAACAAGACAGGCAAAGAGAAACTCAGAGTCAGGAAACAAAGACAAGGCCAATACCAGAATACAATGCAATAACTCAAGCAACGCACTAAAGGGTACTGGGAACAGAGACCACAATAGGGCACGGAATCTAGGGCTAGGTAAATTTAAGTATGTTTATTGTTAATGTGATTGGTCCACGTCATGCCTGTGCCCCAAAATATGCGTTAATGGGGGCGCCAGAATGACGTGGGTCAATGGGAGCCAACAGCAAGGTTAGGCTCCCATTTGCCCTTTAGGAACGTGCTCACAATGTGAGCAGTGTTCCCAATACTATACAGGCTGGAGTGCCTGGAGACAGGAGTGCTTGAGCTGCGTGCGGCTCGATCGGATGAATCCCTGCCGGCACGCGGACCGGGTAACTACCGTTACAGTATGTCTGCTGTTCTAAAAAGTCTTGTGCTACCAGTTGTGCATCTGGTGCCTTTGAAAATTATACAAGCACACACTGATATCACTAAACGTCATAAGGGTTGCTCACCTGCACCACCAAGATACTGCAGATCTCTCCCTTGTGGAATACGCGCTGACACCCAAAATCCACCGTTAACCATCTTTATGTATCTTTTTTCTGTGCCTGTAGCCTGCATTACTTTCTTCTCTTTTTAATTTCTTCACCTTGGGTTTCTTCATTGACTACACATCTACAATACTGTCCACAAACAATGGAATTGATTTGATTATGAGATTGCTACAACCCACTTGGGATTTGATGCCTTGGACTCTCCATTTTATTGACCTTGACTCCAGGTGTGAAATTTGAAGGTAAAGTGTTAGTTTTATTTATACCTAAATCACCCACCAAACGTAGAGCATTGTAATAAGTTTTGTGAAAACAAACCAAAAAAAAAGTAAATTAAAAAAAAGTAAATAAAGTTCATTTGGTGTTTCTTCCTTGAATTAGGTCTTTAGCCACTAAACACTTTCTGGGAGCTTGCCCAAATTCTAGGACATCTCATTAAGCATGTACCTGGAACCGGGTTATGGCTCTGCAACATAGCATTCCTTACTTGAAACAGTCAGATGCGTATATCCTTTGTTTTCTGCAGCTCAATCTGAATAAAGGTCTGTCCTACAGTCTATAAATATATACAGACCACAGCTCTTGCAGCCCTCACTGACTCCAAACGGGCACTAAAATCTGGTATACATATATTCTTCAGAGGTTTGCTCAAATTTTAGCCACAATAGGTGGAAAAAAATTCTGTGTTAAAATGTTTGAAACCTTAACCTCTATAAAAACATGGCACAATAAGCTCATTTAAGGACATCAAGGAATATATCCTTGCAAGCACTGGGAAGGCATCAGTTAACACTTGTTGCTCCTCACTGTCAGATGGGGACAAAATAAAGCCTTGTAATATGTAATTGTACATATACTTTACATTATTCACAAATGTATCATTGGTCGACATACCAGATAAACCAGCCACAGCATACTGAAGGCTCCTGTACAAACCCCACACACTCTATGAATACCACTATTGACTGTCCATGAGGAAGTCGGATTCTACAGATGAAACATGTAGGACTGGAAGTGTTTTATTTTAATTTCATTTCATTACATTTTAATTGTCTGTTGCATGATTCTTTTGGCTGATCCATTTTCGCTATCCTTGGCTGCAAATGGGAAGCATAACTGAAAGGGATGAGATGGTCTTTTGGCTGAGAGATTTCTGATGTTTTTTTTTTCTCCTTATTTATTGAGGCACGACAGATGCACAGTATACGTAAAGTTGGAGTTTAAACAGTTAAATATGTAAATAAGCATTACACAGGCTTCAACATGAAAATGTCAAGTGAAGTCAACGATCAGAAAGAAACTCCTTGTGACGAACCGCCATCACTGAGGACTACCATGCCACGTGTGTGCCCACTCTCTTGCCTGCTTATTGTGTTCAGGTATTAATGCCCCTGAGGAAGTTCAAGGACTACTGAACGAAACGCGTAGGTCTGCTGTATAGTGTATAGAGTTTTATTTGTATTTTATTTTGTTTCATTTTATTTTTATGTTTTCCGGTTCTCTCGACCTTGGGATCCTGTGACTGGAACATTTTATATTATATGCCTGCTTGCCACTACAGTCTTGTAAGTGTGCCTTATAATTAAAGTGTTGATTTTATCAAGATACTCTGCAATATTACGCTTCTTTTCTTCCTCCTATGTACTACATGATGCTCTACAAATCCTGAGTTTTCCACCACATCCAAGATATGCCTGCAATCAATTTTGGTTTGTGAATGCGAATAATTATTATATTTCCACTCCATTTTATTGCAACAGTATTGTGCTATGTTTCTCTCTGTTATCATTGTATTGTAGATTTTTTCCCTTTTCCATAGTGTCACAGGGAGAGGAGATTGGCTGCCCCTCATCCCAGCAGCAGCAAGCATCCCTGGGAGTGGACATAGTAGGTCTCACTACCCAGCACCAGGCAGCATCACAGAGAGAGGAGATTGTCGGCCCCTCATCCCAGCAGCAGCAAGCATCACTCGAAGTGGAGATGGTCTGTCCCCCTACCCAACACCAGGAAGAGTTACAGGGAGTAGAGACAGTTGGTCTCCCTCCTCAGCGGCAGTATGAGGTAAAGGGAGAAGAGACAACCAGTCTCTCTCCCCAGCGGCAGCTGGAGTTACCGGGAGAGGAGATTTTCAGTCCCTCTCCCCAACAGCAGCAGGAGTTCAAGGGAATGGAGACAACCAGTCTCGTTCCCCAGCGGCTGTGTGAGGTCTCGTGAACAGAGACAACTGGTCTCGTTCCCCGGCAGCAGTGTGAGGTCCTGGGAACAGAGACAACTTGTCTTGTTCTCCAGCAGCAGTGTGAGGTCCTGGGAACAGAGACAACTGGTCTTGTTCCCCAGCGGCAGTGTGCAGTCCAGGGAGAGAAGAGTGTCACCCTTCCTCTCCAGTGGCAAAGTGCAAACCCAGCGGAAGAGCTGGCATCAGGGCAGAGCACAGCAGGTCTCTATCCACAAGTCCCTGAGGCTGATCCCAGGCTGTGTTTGGCCCTGAATAAAGATATCCCTGTTGTTATCTTCATCAAGTCTTGGCTGATGTTTGGATAAACAAGGGGTGTGATCACTGTTTCACTCGGGATTTGGGAGATTTACAACGGATGTTCTAAGTCGAAGTATAGGGATCCGTTACACTTCTAGATAGCTCTGCCTCATTTTTAAGCATTATATTAACAAGATAAATCAAGGTAAATAATATCCCAGTAGAAATGAAAGTAAAAGCAAGTTTAAGTCAGAGCATAGTAACTGACATAGTGAGTAAAAACCATGCTTAGGAAACAAGATGAATAGCCCCACCAGGTATAATCAAAGGGTGTTTCAAGTAGAACTGGACAATTGTAAGTTTAGACACAGGATAAGGCACCTAACCTGAAAGAATGAAACATTACAATTCTTGTCTGAGTTAGAATGCTATCCATTAGCTGTGGCTAACAGGCTGGAGATGGGGTATTGTCCATGATTCAAAAGTATAAAAGGGAATCCTGAGCAGGAGAGCGACTAAAGTAATAGGAAAGGGAGCCCTACCTTTATTAGTTCTAAGGGATGATAGGACAAGAGAAGAAAAAAAGGGGGTAGAAATAAAATGGTGCTACCAAGTGTAGTAAAAAACAACGCTGTTGTCAGGAGCAATATTTAAAAGCCGGCTAGACTTCTAAGATTCATAATGATTGACTAAATTTTATCATATACAAGGGAACTTTTATACTTTTATCATTCTGTGCTCTATAAAATAAGTACTAAGGTAGGGTAATAAAAAACAGCAATGAGCAGGATGTACTAAGAAACTCAACAAATGTAAATGTACTTTATCAATTAAATAATATTTTTTTATTGTTATGAATTGTAGTTTAGACTTATTTAAAATCTAAATGATTTAAATAAACTCGGATCCGAATGCATCTGGCAGGAAAGTTAGTATTTACTTTCTTTTTGCAAGAAGATGATAATTTAAAGCAATATTTCTATGCTATTACTAGTAGCACTAGCAGCCAGAGGACGTTTTAAATAAACCTTGTCAATGCAATGTTAAACCATGTGGCATCTTGTTAGCCAGCCACCACATAGAAAGTGGGGTCATATTTACTAAACAGTTAACAGCCAGTGGATGTTTAATATAATATGAAACAGAGTTAGTCCCCCCTGTTCACCCGTCTGTGGGTATCAGGTGGGAGACTTTAAATAAAAAAATGGGGGTGAAGAGATCACTTCCAACCCACTGCCATCTTGCTCCCGATAGTGTTCTTACAGGACAGGAGTTAGAACGGGGGCCTTTAACAGGCAGAAGAAGGCGCCCCATCAGGCATGTGTCTGTACGCAGGTGCCTCCCCCCTCTCCCACCTTAATAATAGTGAGGGAGCAATAAACCTAATAACCTTCTCCTCCTTATATATTAAGGAAGAACCCATGGCAATAGATGTGCAAATGATTGCTACTAAAAACTTGCAGAATAATTGTAATTGGTTAACTCAAGACAAGGTGCTGCAGCAACTAAAGAAAGTTAATATAAACAAAGCTCCAGGGCCTGACGGTATCCATCCATGTGTACTTAAGGAACTAAGTGTAGAAATAAGTGAACCTCTGTTTTTAATCTTTCAAGATTCTTTTCTTTCAGGAAGTGTTCCGGAGGATTGGAGGAAGGCAGATGTGGTTCCTATATTCAAAAAGGGTTCAAAATCCTTGCCTGGAAATTATAGACCTGTGAGCTTAACTTCTGTGGCTGGTAAAATATTTGAAAGGTTATTAAGGGATAATATTCAAGAATTCCTTGAGAAGAACATGGTTATCAGCAAAAATCAGCATGGTTTTATGAAGCACAGGTCATGTCAAACTAACTTGATTGCGTTCTATGAAGAAGTAAGTAGAAGTATAGATCAGGGTGTTGCCGTGGATGTGATCTATTTGGATTTTGCCAAGGCATTTGATAAAGTTCCACACAATAGATTAGTGTTCAAACTCAAGGAAATCGGTCTAGATGAAAATGCTTGTTCTTGGGTAGAACATTGGCTTAAAAACAGAGTACAAAGAGTTGTCATTAATGGTAAATTTTCAAGCTGGACAGAGGTGGCAAGTGGTGTCCCTCAGGGGTCTGTTCTGGGACCCCTTCTATTTAACATGTTTATAAATGATCTTGAAGACCGCATTGAAAGTCATGTTTCAGTGTTTGCAGATGATACCAAACTTTGTAAAACAATACAATGTGAGCAAGATATTACTTTGCTGCAGAGGGATTTAGATAGACTGGGGGACTGGGCACTCAAATGGCAGATGAAATTTAATGTTGAAAAATGCAAAGTTATGCACTTCGGCGTAAAGAATACACAAGCAACGTATACCCTTAATGGAAGCGAATTAGGGATAACAACACATGAAAAGGACTTGGGAATTGTTATAGACAACAAACTATGCAACAATGTGCAATGTCAATCAGCAGTGGCCAAGGCCAGTAAGGTATTGTCATGCATGAAAAAGGGCATTCATTCTCGGGACAAGAATATAATTTTGCCTCTTTATAAATCACTGGTAAGACCCCATATTGAATATGCTGTGCAATTTTGGGCACCTGTTCTAAAGAAGGATATTATGGCACTAGAAAAAGTGCAGAGGCGGGCTACAAAACTAATAAAAGGAATGGAACATATCGGCTATGAAGAAAGGTTAACAAATTTAAACCTATTTAGTTTAGAAAAACGTCGCCTGAGAGGGGATATGATAACATTATACAAATATATTCGGGGCCAATACAAACCATTGTGTGGAAATCTATTCACAAACCGGACTTTACATAGGACACGAGGCCATGCGTTTAGACTGGAAGAAAGAAGATTTCGTCTAAGGCAAAGGAAAGGTTTTTTTACTGTAAGAACAATCAGGATGTGGAATTCTCTGCCTGAAGAAGTGGTTTTATCAGAGTCCATACAGATGTTCAAACGGCTACTAGATGCATACTTGCAAGAACAGAATATTCAATGATATAATCTTTCAATGTAGGGTAATAACTGCTTGATCCAAGGATAAATCTGGCTGCCATTCTGGGGTCAAGAAGGATTTTTTTTCCTAGCTTGTTGCAAAATTGTGCATCAAACTGGGTTTTTTTGCCTTCTTTTGGATCAACAGCAAAAAACAAATGTGAGGTAGGCTGAACTTGATGGACGCAAGTCTCTTTTCGCTATGTAACTATGTAACTATGTAACTATAATAAAGAATATATACTTACCATCAGAAATCTTCTTTCTTATAATTCTTTTTTTCATCAGCCCCCAAATTGGTCAAATTAAAATCCATAATACTGTGATGTTACCATTATAAAAAAAAATGCAGAAAAATAAATCTGAATCGAGTTCATCTTCACCCCACAGAAATATTTTTATGGCAAGCCTGAAGAGAAGAGTTACTTACCTGTCAAGCACTTTTACACGTCAACAAAGCCAACAAGCCACTACACAGGCTGAAAATGAAGCTGGCACCGATGATGGAAATTCCACAAATCCTTGCTTGATGATATATAATGATCCCATGACTGTATAAGCTTCTGCAAAATTTCCATTGACCACATATAGTGGTCAAATTTGCTCCTAGGAATTAAGTTGCTCTACATGTAACCCTATCGAACAAGCGCAGCTTAGTGGAAATGGGCTTGACAGAGCTTAGAGGTGGGCATAGGGGGCAGGCCCCCAGGGATTGGGAGTTGGATTGTTAGGGGGCTGGCCTAGTATAAATAGGCAGCCATTTTACAATTAGGCCCTTTTAATTTTCTTACCTGGCCTAATTTGTGTACACCTCCTGTCTGCAGTCTGGGCCTGGTAGGTTTTTTGCTTTCTTTTGCTGCAGGTTCAATTCCCAGAGGATGGATCTGGTGGAGCAGCTCATGGCAGAGGTGAGAGCAGCAGCATGGGATTTTGGAGAGGCACGGGTGCAGGAGTGCCTGGGATCTGTCCTGGCGGGGGTCTAGAGCGGCGGTGGGACTTGCCGCCTAGCATGGACACGGAGGCCTGCACAGTGGCTTAGCCCTGGCCGGGATATCAGGCCCACCTGCGGGGACAGAGGAGAGGCAGCTGCACAGAGCCATGAGGTCTAGCGACTGAGCACAGGGCTCGGGGAAGGTGCTCCGCCCCCCCCCCCGGTGATGTTGTGGGAGTCCGGGGGCAAGGGAATGTGCGGACGCATTGACAGGCAGCCAGCAATGTGGCCCCCTAGTCATGAGAGGCCGTGCTGGGTAAAGGACCTGCTGTGGTCGGCAGTGGGAGCCCAGAACTGCAGGAGATTATGGGGCTGTCCGCCAGAAGAGTGGCCCCTGGTGGCGGGAGAAGGGGCAGTGAGGCTGTTGCTGGAGAAAGTGACCTAGAAGGGATTGGGGCAGCAGACCTCCCAGATAGGGATATTGCAGCTCAGGGGGATCCCAGGGCCTTCAGAGACGATCACAGGGCACAGGGAAAGTCCATGGGGTTGCTGCAGTAGGCCCCTCCTCAACTAGGGGTTTCCCTGGGGATAGTTTGGGGCACTTTGGGAGTTGAGCAGGAGACCTGTCTTGCGTCCTTGGGGTTAGGAAGGATGACGGCGGTGCGGCCTGGAGGTGCTGCTCGAGGGCGGCGCATGGGTGGTGTTAGTGCCAGTGAGGGGAGGGCACAGAATAGGCATGTAGCGAATGGTATTACGGCTGTCCTAAAAGA